CCAGCAGAATTCCTGGAATCCAAGTTCTCTTCCCCTTCCAATTGTCCTTTCCAGGGACTGGGTTTTCAACATACTTCCCAGAGCCAAGAGAGTCATCAGAAGCCACAGCACAAGAACTGTCCTTGCTGCTGCTCTGGGGGCTGGTCGCAGCCTGGAGAGATCCTTCTCTTTCCCCATCAGGGTTGGCCTCACAGTCCCACTGTGGTGCCTGGGGGAGGACCCACCCAGCAGCATTCCAGCTCTTCTGTGTGGCCCTAAGCAGAGCTGCTTTGCTCTCATAGACCTTTAAATGACCTCTGTGTTGTTATTTTTTTTAACTCTCTCAATTGTATAGAGCCCTCTTTCTCTTAGAGCTAGGACCACTTCACTTTAGAACTGTGTCCAGAGACAATTTTTATAATACTGTATGGAATCACTCCCCCAATTTTCCTTCCTCGCAGTACTCCACCATGGTGCCAGGGTTAAGCTGAAGTATCCCAGTGCCCTTCCTCCCTTCCATCCTGCTCTCAGGGGGGTTAAGAAGCAGCCTATTCTTGATTCCACCGTGACTCCTTCATGCCTACCATCTCGAGCTCTCCCCGGAGTGTTTGAACAGGTTTAGAGTCCCTCAGAGGGCACATCTCCCGGGGATCCTCATTAGACTTGCATCGATCATGCGTCCAGGACCCATGGAGTCAAATGCTCATTCCACACAACCCCCTCCCTTCCCCGTCCAAGACAGACCTCACTCCAACACAGGAAAAGGGGGAAGGGGGCGGTGCGGCCAGCCACTTTCCTGTCCTCACAGCGAGCAGGAGTCCTCCCATCTGCATGCCATGCTTTGCCTTTTAGCTTCTGAGTGACATTCCAAGAGTGGATTTTCATCTAAAGCACTGACTGCTCCGTTGAGGAGCAGACTGCTCAGAGAATCAATCACCTGGCTCCATGTTCATCAGTCTGTGGTTTAAGTTAGTCAGACAGGAATATTTATGGAGTGTCAGGCTGGAATGAGAGCCATGGAGAGGCAAGACAGAGACGGGAGACAGAGCACACCGGCCCCGCCTGCTCTCCCGAATCTCAGAAGCTGCAATGGAAACATCTTTGCTGCCCTCCATTTCTAAGAATCAGTGCCAGTTCTTGAGGAGGAAGATAATTTAGGGACATATGAAGAAGGTCATCATGGATATTTAAGTTAATTTACTTTGGGCATTCAGAATTTTTCGATGTGAGTCACTTTTTAAAAGTTATAAATAATGGTTAGTCTTTGAAGATGACTTGTCACCATTTTTAGAAAAATGTAGAAAGCCATCCAAAATGTTATATTTTACAACCCAGTTGTTCCTGTAGTACTTGTATCTTATGTAGGAGAGTTTCTATTTTTTTCCCCAGAAGACATCATTTTGGCTTTCCAAATAATGATAATAATGATAGCTACAAGTGCTTATGACAATTCAGGTACAAGGCTAAATGCTTTCATGCAAGGTCTCATGTAGTCATCACAACAACTCTATGAGGTAGGTACTATTATCATTTGTCATTTTATAGATGGGGACGTTAACAACTAGAACATTGAAGTAATTTTCCTTCTGTGATCTAAGTGGTAGATGGTAGTTCTAGAATCTAAGCCTGAATTTGTTAATCCCAAATCTGTGAGCTTCAGCCTCCAAATGGTGTATCACTTTCCATCTTCAGTGTGTTGCATTTTACTAGAGCTTGAGCTAATGCAGTTTAACCTCCATCTGCCACTCTTAACACTTCTTAACATCTGCACATGTACAGTCTACACAGCTGCATGTGAAAGGAGAAACAGCACTGGTCTGGGGGTCAGCTCCGTGGTTCTAAGCCCTGCCTCCACAATTTACTAGCTGTCTGTCTTTGGGCTGATAACTTACCCTCTGTGAGGCTACATTTCCTTACCCATAACTAGCAATTATGGTTCCTTCTCTGCTTACTTAGAGAAGAGGTGGGTAGTTATAAAGACTGTCAATGTCCCCCAGCCAAGACCACCAGGAACATACCAATATGTTGAACAATTGGGTCTATTACTCATCACAGTGAGAGAGAGTGATGTCTTGGGGGGCTATGGGGATTCCGGGAAGAGAGTGTGAAAAATAATGTATTATAAGATGTGGGTTTTGGTTGGGTGGTTTGGGGGTAGGTCTAATAAAGTGAGAGTTCACTCTGGATTGTCAGGGACGATTCTATGATTGGATATCTTAATAAATCAAGTCTATGGAGAGGGCAGACTGGAGCGAGATTAAAGCCCTAATGGGTAAAAGAAGTAGCAGGCACTCAAAATAACCAGGCAAGGGGGTCATTTGGTATTTTGCGGTTTGCACAATGACCTCGTTTTTT